AGGCAGTTCTCTTGCCTCTTGTCTTGCAGTGACTGATTTCATGCACAATTCAAAGGGGCCACACAGGCTCTGTAATCATGAGGAGCTGATGGGTCTGAGAGCAATGTCTTTCTCCCATTAAAAATGGGCTTGCTTACTTCTTCATCCTAGGGCCTTCTTTGGTGTCAGTGGCTTTTGTTTAGCTTTATAATCCATCCACATCAGTTCTTGATGGAAAAAAAAAGTGTGAAGATGAAAGTTTTTTCACATAGTATATATCCAGTCATGGAATGATGTCCCTGTTTGTCTGGGTGGTACATAATAAAGAAATAGAGTTGGTATGTACTGGTATCTTGTATTTTTAAGTCCACACTGACCCATTTACAAAATAAAGTCATATGAGTAGAAATATTTTCAGAATACAAAATAGAAAGATGTCTTAAAATTTTTTGGTATATGTTTTACAAAATATGATATTGAAGGCCATGTATTTAGTAGCACCTTTATTGTATGATAGGGTGGGTGTGGAAATCATCTTTTGATACTTGTTTGTGCCACTTCTTTGCCATGAACAAGCTGTATACCTCTGTGAACTCAGTTTCTTCATGGTAAAATAGCTACCTGGGTGACTTTTAATGAAGAATGTAGAGGCAATGACATGTTTGGGTGGTGTTTTAACACAAATTAAGCATTGAAAAAAATGTTAAATCTCCCCTTCTCTTTTAACCAAAACTATAAAAAATAAATATATGAAAATTAACAGTTTTATTGAGATATAATTCACATACCATATAATTCACTCAAAGTAAGGATATTTGAACTTAAAGATCTGCATGGGAAAATTTAATGATGCTTTGCCCATGTCTACACATACCCTTCCTTCTCATTTTCCAGTCTCTTATTGTATCCCTTTGTACACTCATGTATACATGCATGCATGTTTTCCTGAAACTGGGATATGCCTTTTTGTTTAAAACAAAAAAAATAATTTAAAAAGTTCAAAATGCAAGTGGAGAAAGTTGGCAACTTTGTAAATAAATATTAGTAATTATTAATGGGTCTGTGAGACTCAAGGACACCCTTGGTAGAAGGGGCATGGCTAGATTTTCAGTTTGTGGCTTTTCCATAGGAACTTCTGTCATGTCCCACCAACCTCTCAGCTGCCTGACTGAAAAAGGGGACAGTCCCATTGAGACCACAGGAAATGGACCCCCCATTCTGGCTCACCCCAGCCTGGATACATTCACCCCAGAGGAGCTGCTGCAGCAGATGAAGGAGCTCTTGGTTGAGAACCACCAGCTGAAAGGTGAGCAGCCACTCAACCCGTATTCTCCACTCACCTGGGGCCTTTATGAAACATAATTCCTTTGTAACAAGTCTCCTACATGAGCCCAGATGGCTTTTGGTAGGGCTAAAATGCTTTCTGTTATTTACCTCTTGATA